GGGCTAAGAGGGTCCCTTGTTGAGGGCGATGGAGAACCATTCATTATCGCTGTGCATCATGGTCAAGGAAAGCCTCCACGAAATGATTTTCTTGACAATTATGTTGATGAGGTGAGCCATCTAACAAATGATGGTTACCTATTTTCCGTACTAGGACGTTTCGTCCAATATTTTATGTCCAATGAGAGTTTGTCTTACACACTACGCCCAGTATGACCTGCGTCCAAAACTCATATGTCTATCAATGTCCTATGTCCAATACTTAAATTTCATAGCCAAAATAGTTTTTTTTAGAGTTCACAGCCAGAGCCCTGCTCGCGCTCGCCCGGCTAGTGGCGTGTTCGAGATTAATTTGCGTTGAGTCAGTGCGCAAGGTTTCTTCTTAAGTCTAGTTCGGCTCGGAAGCGGCTAGGTCCCAGTCACGGTCCATATACGATTGTCACACAGGTCAGATAGAATGCAGTTACAAGTTGCCCAGGCACACCCCGGACAGTTATCAGACATAAGTGAGCACTGGTCATAGTTAGGATTCAAACACTTCTTGTACGGAGATCGGACAGACCCCAAACCGTTTAGACAGGTAACTATTTGGCTACTGTCTGCGGAATAGGGGAGAGGGCAAAGAAGTTGGCAAACCGGTATATGAGCACCATCCGACCTCTCGGACAGTCTGCAGACACGCGTCGTGTTGGCGAGAAAAAAGGCCGCGTGCACACAGAGTAGAACCCCGGACTCTTGATTCAGTGCCACTCATCTTGCCAACTGAGCTATCTGGGCGCACATGTGGGGGACGGGGACGATCGCCGGAGCAACTCTTTCGTTGCGACTGCCAGTGGCTCGTGAGCGGGCGAACGTTCCGTAGTATGCTTCTGGCCACGGCCCCCACAAAAAATTATATCATAAAAATAAAATTTTGGACTCTGGACATATGACAAATATTGGACGTACAATATTGGACTTAAAATTCTGGACATAACATACTGGACATTTAAATTCTGGGACTCTGGACATATGACAAATATTGGACGTACAATATTGGACTTAAAATTCTGGACATAACATACTAGACATTTAAATTCTGGGACATAACAGGGTAGGACAAAAAGTCCTGGACGAAAGTGTCATGGACGAAGCGTCGTAGCGCCCTATTTTCTAATGGTGCCCGGTACCCCTTTAGAATTAAGAAATGCATTATGGATGCTGAGGCCAGGCAGCTCATGAAAGGGATACAAAACCATAATAGTACTCGTGGCTGTGAAAAGTGTGAAGTAGATGGGATTAGATATCGTCACAGGACGGTTTATCTGGACTTTGATGCTCAGCTGCGTCATGATGAAGATTTTGCTGACAGATTAGACCCTGCCCATCATAATGAAGCTGATATTGACGAGCCTACACCCTTGGAACAAATTGAAACAAGAATGATTTCAGACTTTGTGCTTGACCCCATGCATTTGGTCGACATGGGACTTTTCAAACGCTGGCTTAAATTCATTCTGGACATGTATGGAAGAAATCCTGCTGTTATATCAGCTCAAGAGAAAATTATTATTTCAGAAAAAATAGATTTCATTTCATTTACTTTGCCCCAGGAGTGCACCATCTTCGAAATTTGGATTATCTGTCTAATTACAAAGCCTTGGAACTGAGAATGCTGCTGTTGTATGTGGGATTATATGCATTTAAACATCTACACAGAAATCTATATGAAAACTTTTTGTTATTGTTCTGTGGAATTTATATCTTAAGTGATGAGTCGCTCATTCATTTGAGAGAAGTGGCTGAACTTTGTGTTCGGAATTTCGTTGCCCACTCAGCTCAATTGTTTGGGGCTCACTTTGTTGTATATTGTGTGCACTGCTTGATTCATCTTAGCTCCGAATGTGAAGTTCACGGATCTTTGTATACATTTAGTGCATACAAGTCAGAGGTCGGCATCCGCTCCCGAACGGGTCCCACTCTGAGCGCGCGCCGTGCGCAGTAGGTGTGCGAGAGAGACAGAGCGAGAAACCCGAGGTAGCGATGGCGATGTGCCGAACCTCGCCGAATGCAGCCGAGCGAACGGGACCCGTTTGAGTGGCCGAGCCCCGCCTGCCGGTCACCTGAGGGCGTGGCGTGGCGTGGCGCGTAGGCAAAGTCGGTC